CATCTAGTGGAGGAGCATCAGTTGGATCTCACTATTAAAGATTACAATGGAATGGCTCCAGTTCATGTAGCCTGTGAAGAAGGATCATTGAGTATGGTCAAGTACATTATAGACCATTCACCATTATCTCTTGATATGACCGACTCTTTTGGACGTACTCCACTACTTATTGCAGCTTTCTCTAAGAACCTTCCCATCATTCGTTACCTCAACAGTAAAAACTGCAACATTTCTATACTGGACGATAAAGGGTTTAACGTAATACACATATCGGCAAAGGGAGGGTCTTTTGATATATTGAGGTTTTTCGTTGATGGTGGTTACTGTAATCCTGATATCACTGATGCTTCTGGTCGTACTCCACTTTATCTGTCAGTTCAAGAGGGTCACTTGGAAATAGTAGAATATCTATTGGATAGTCCAAGCTACAATAAACCACGTGTAGAATTAGTAGACATGGCAGATAGCAATGGTAACACAGCACTTCATGCAGCATGCAGCCAGGGTCATCCTGATATAGTGTCTACTATAGGAGGAGCTTACAAGTCTCTTAATATTGATATTTATTCAATTAATGAGAAAAGACAGACTCCATTACACTTAGCAGCAGCTAATGGTCACGTTAATACAGTCGTGTCTCTCTTATCAGCCACTACTGGTACTAGAAATCATGAGAAGCTCCTTGGAGCAGTGGATGGTGATGGTTGTTCTTGTCTTCATTTAGCTTGTCAAAATGGTCACTATAGGATGACACTGTATCTCTCTGAGGTGTATCCAGCTAATGTTTATAGTGTGAATAATAATGAGGAAGGATTGCTTCATGGAGCTGCTGAGAGTGGTAATAAGGATCTAATCCAGTTCCTAGTGGAATCACACGGTCTTGATCCAGAGTCACAGGATAAAGATGGAGTGACATGTCTACACATAATAGCAAAGCAAGGAGATAAAGAGGTATACAAGTATCTTGTACCTCGTGTTAGGAATAATCCAACTCCTAAGGATAAAGCTGGTCGGTCTCCACTTCATTACGCTAGCAGACATTATGAGATGTCAGTGTATCTGATTCAATGTTTTAATATTCATCCTGAAGACAAAGACAGTAATGGATTCACTGGTGTTCATGCTGCCTGTCAAGCTGGTAACATGCGACTGGTATCACATTACTTGAATAAACTAAAGTGCAATCGTTATTTAGAAACATACGACTCTAAAGGTCTGTTGTATTTTGCTTGTTTGAGTGGTCACTTGGAAATGGTTCGTATTTTAATGGAAAAGTATCAGTTGAAACCAGTTGAAGGAGACATTGATGCAGCCCAGTCAATCAAAGGAGGAGAGTCTATA